GCCCCCAAGAGGCCCTCGAGAACGCTCCGAAGAAACCTCAAGAAGCTTCACTGAAGACTCATGCCCACAGCCTAGGCGCGGTGGCGGGATGGGCCGAAGGCCATATCCGCCGCCCCCTGTCGATTCATCGCAGGGGTGCCTGGCGTGCCGAGCCCTATCGGTTTTGGTTTTGTTTTTTTCCAAAAGAACTCCCCCTGGGGCTTCGGCCCGCCCCGCCGGCCACCCGGAAGACCCGGTTGCCATCGCCAAAAACGGCAGTTTCGCTCGGGACATCCTCAAAACATCCGCGAAGATGGCCCAAGATGGCCTGCAACATGCCTCCAAGACAGCCAAGATGGCCTCCAAGACGGCTAAGATGGCCCCAAGATGCATCCGAGACGGCTCAAGATGGCCTCAAGATGGTCTAAGACGGCCCAAAAGGCCCGCAAGAGGCCTCCAAGACGGCCCAAGAGGCCTCCAAGAGTTCCTCCAGGAAGGCCGACGAGGCCAACATCCTTGATTTTCCTGAGGTGTTTGAAAGATTTTGGCATTTGCGCCTTTTCGGCTTTCCGACGGCCCGTGACGGCCCCAGAGGCCGCCAAGGTCGCCCCAAGAACGCCCAAGAGGCCTCCAAGATGGCCCCATGACGGCCCAAGAGGCCCCCAAGACGGCCACAAGAGGGCGCCAAGACGGCCCAAGAGGCCTCGAAGACGCCCAATATGGCCTCTAAGCCGGCCCTGGAGCACCCCAAGAGGGCCCCAAGTCGGCCCAGAAAGGCCCCCGAAACGGCTTCCGACGGCGTCAGACGGGCCAGGAACAGGCCAAGATGGCCGAAGGTGGCTCGCAGCTGGCCCAAGACGGCCTCCAAGAGGGCCGCCAGGAAGGCCAGAAAAGGCTCAAAAGAGTTATTTTCCAAAGGTTTTTGAAGGATCGCCCAAGAGGCCTCCAAGATGGCCCCAGAACGGCCCAAGAGGCGCCCAAGACGGCCCCAAGGGGCCCCCAAGACGGCCCAAGAGGCCTCCAAGACGCTCAAGATGGCCTCCAAGACGGCCCACGAGCCCTCCAAGACGTCCTCCAAGAAGGCCCGAAAGAGTCAAAATGGCCTCCAGGCGGCCAAGATGACCTTCAAGATGCCCACGTGTTCCCCGAAGGCTTTCCAAACCGATTCGGGCAACACATGGTCCGATAGCTTGGCACATCTGGCCTCAACGTTCGGCCACGTAGGCGCTTTTACAAAGGCAGGGGGCGGTGGTGATTCGCCGTATGTGTCTTCGATATGGCTTCACCTAGATTGCACAATGTTTGCTGCAACAAACAGACATTTTGGGGCCCACACTGGCTAGCATGTTGAAGACTTCATTGTAAAACGTTGGAGTTCCACCATGACGTCGCGGTCTGCGTGATGGGTGTGATCGGTTCTCAGGAGTTTGAGGATGTCCCGAGCAAAACCGCCGAACAAATGGCGAACGAGACGGCTTCAATGCATCGTCTCTGAACTCCACTCCCTCAGAGAAGTGCGTATAAGTCGCACAAACAGGTTAACATGTATAGCATGGCGTGAGCCACACTGCACATCTGCACACAAGTGTATATATGTCCATATATATGTAGATATAAGAATATATGACAATGTGGCCATATATACATGTGTATGAGTTTGTATCTATTGCAACACCTGGGTTACACCATGCACAGACTGCACCTCCCATGCGGCACACCAAGGTGCAAGACACCATGGTCCGGGGCCCATGCTGGCACGCACATGTTGCTGCCGTCGACGGGGTACAATGCTGACTACTCGCCGCGAGACTCCCGTGAGCGCTCCGACTGTCTCGTCAAGAACTCGGCACAGAGATCATACCACTTATCGGGGGACACCTTCTGGCCAGGATGCCGCCTGGGCGATCTCTTCCCCAGCTGCGATTAGCCATGACGGCGTGAGGCTTGCACAAGGGCCAAAGCCGAAAACAAGAAAAGTACGACGCATAAGATTTCGGAGATCAGCGGATTGCTTGGATCGGCGCTGGACCCCCCCGATCCAACGCCGATCCAAGAAATCCGCGCAGACCTGCAAATATCAATGTCTGTGCAGAGTGCTGCTGTTCTTCTTCTTCTTCGTCATTATCACTATCATCAGATTATTATTCTCTTTCTTCTTCGACAGCCTTGTACCTCCTCACCAAACAATAGTCTCTCCTCCCCTTTCTCCTTCGACGTCGGACGGTGGTGTTAACGAATCAACTCACGTAGCTGGTTTCTCTGGCGCCTCCTGGCGCCGAAGGCGCCTTTGTATCGAGGCAAGCGCCTGGCGGCTGGGCCCAAACCGGCCGCATGCTGCAAATTTCGAAATCGCCGACGTTCCTAACATCCCCCCCTTTCCGTCTGCCCCAACTGCAGATCGTCGTCTTGCTTCCCCCCTCCCGCGGCCGTTCGGGACGGTCTGGGCACCCCTGGCACACCCTCGGCGAGGCGCAGGTGCCAGCGAGCACCCCAAGGCTGGGATACCGCCGAATAGTTACCCAGTCCCCAAAAAACCTCGAGCCGCCAACACTACCTATTTGACAGACCCGATAATTTGGAAGGCGGGGGGTCGGAGGCGACGAGAAGGACGGATACTCCACGGGCGGGCATTACACGGGACACAGACCATCGGCGCCCCTGGATACATGTATTGCCTCACCCCGGGCTATTCGCCCCTGCAGTCAGTCGTCGTGATTCCATTAGGATCGCTCGTTAAGGAACGGATGTTTTTTTTTTCTTTTCGCGACGAGCCTCGGTCACGGATAGCTTCCCCGACCTAGGTCTGATGATCGGCCTGAACACCCATCTCCCCAAACACCCACGGCGGTCCTGATTTCAACGTCTCGACAGTACCGTCGCCTCCGAAGAGTAGGGGCAATGCTAGGGGCAAACATCGACCTGGAATTGGTGATGCATCGCCGATGAGATTGGCGATAGGACCCCGCTTGCAAATCCACGCTCTACTGGGCGGGGTGGGCCATCGGACCCCCACTGGCGATCAATGGGCGATTGGGGGTCGATGCATCCCGTACGGCAAGTTCATGCCGCGATGGCGTCGGCGTTGGTTCCTAAACCCGCGTGAATCGCTCAAGCTTGAATGATTGCGGCCTTCCGACAGCGCTCGTCGTTCAACGCCAGCCGACTCTCAACGCTGGACGCCCGCGCAAGGGGCCGCCGCCGCGCCGACGCGAGACCCTATACCACCTCAGCGTTGTCCCCAGAGCTCATTCCCCCTTGAACCTGTCACCCCTGAGCCTATCCTCCCTGAGCCTATCTTTCCTGGGGGTCGATGCGCCACCCCCTGAGCCCGTCCACCCGAAATGCTCCTCATCGATGGCTTTCGGGTCATAACTCGGCCCCCGGGCGGCCGTTCGGCGAGGCGCAGCTGCTGGAAAAAAAGCATCCCGAGACTGGAAGACCGCCGAGAACCGACCAGGGCACCCGAAGGCCTCGACCCCCAAATCCCTCGAACCCTCGAACTTCGAACCCCTCGAGTGTTCTCCGCCCCTAAGTCGATCTCTCGAAAATGGTGTCGGAGGATCGCGCCGCATCGCCGATGCATCGGCAACGTCGGCGATGCACCGGCGGCGTCGGCGTGGAGGAACATCGGGTTCCACATCAAGCCGCATCAACGCTGCATCGGCGATGCGGCGCGATTCTCCGACCCCATCTGCTCGGGCCCTATGTCATTCGGGCCTCCCAAACCGAGTGATGACAGACAGCGCGGTGACCTCGGAATCCCCGACAACCTCACCGCGCGGTGCGTCACCTCACGGGTTTGGGACCTCGGAGGCCCCAGTCGCCCGACACACACCCGGAGACCGACTCAAACTTAAAAACCGCGTGGTGACGCCGAGAACCCACCGACTCGCCACGCGACGTGGCCACTAATGCTCTGGTGGGGGCCTCTGGTTTGAGAGGCCTGGGCTTTGGGGGCGACGGGGGGTCTGAACTGCATGGGGCCTCGGAACACAGATCAAGAGGGGGGGCTGTCACAGGTAGGAGGACACACGGTGCTCTAAGTTGCGTCGAGCGGGGAGCTGGGGTGAGGCCCTTTCTCAGCAGGGCGCAGCTGACATAACTCACTCTAGCGCCATAAGCCGAACCGGCTACGGAGCAGGGACACAGAGAGAACACGAGGGGAACACACTGCCGGGGCCTCTCCGGGCCTCTGAAGGACAGGACGACGCCAAAGCCACTCAAATCGGTCTCCGTACCCCTCCCGGGGGTCCATCTGGTGAGCTGTCGTGGCCCGACAACGGCCCCCGGAGGTCGACCAAGGCAGAGCACCTTCCCGGACCCAGAGCCTCGAACCTCTTCCCCCGCCCTCCCGCCCTCCTGCTGGCCGGAGCAAATGCTGGGCCACCTCGAACTCTCCGCCGACTCCAACCTGGACTGACGCTGCCTATGACAGGCGGCAAGATCCGAACCCTACACCAACCAACTTTCGATCCTCCTGAATCGATGGGAAGCGGGGGGAAGGGTTTGGATTTCGCCACGTTTTCGGCGAATTCCGAACCCTTCCCCCGCCGCCCATCGAGTTGCCTGAATCGCTGATCGGCCAGGGTCGGGTTGGGTCGGGCCCGTCCTCCCACAGCGGGAGTTTGGACGAACAACAAAACACATACCAAACTAATCAAAACGCAATCCAAAACATAGTCCGCGCACCGTCCCCAGATTATGATTTTGCCTGTTTCTGAGCACTCCTCCTGTGGAGGGACGGGCCCGACTCAAAGGGCAGGGTTCGGATCTCACCGTCGACCTGACAAGAAGGAGGAGGAGGACGGACGGAGGAGCACGGAGGAGGACGGAGGAGGACCAGGAGGACAAGGAGGAGCAGGAGAAAGGAGGACAAGTAGGAGGAGGAGGAGGAGGAGGAGGAGGAGGAGGAGGAGGAGGAGGAGGAGGAGGAGGAGGAGGAGGAGGAGGAGGAGGAGGAGGAGGAGGAGGAGAAGGGGGGGCCCCATGCGGGCGCGCGGCGGCGCGCTCCCGGGAGGCGCCTCTCCCCCAACATCGGCGGGGGAGGGGGCGGGGCGTCCGCCGCGCGGGCCTCGGCGGGCAGAGGTCAACGGCGAGCGGAGGGGGGGACATGAGGAGGAGAAGGCCTTCCCTAGAGGGCAGAAAATCCACCCCCAGGAGACTGTTCTTTTATCCAGGGGAGGTAACGCATGTTACCTGGGGGGGGGGGAGAGGGGGCAGGGGGGGAGGTAACGGTAACGGCGGCCGCGGCGTGCACCCCACCCCCCAAGGCCTTCTCTAGAGGGCAGAACATCCACCCCCATAAGAACCACCCCGACAAGCGAGGCCACTTACTAAATGCCCCCACTGAAGGAACCGAACAGGGCAGGGCTGTTCAGTAAACGCCCAAGGCCGTTCAGTAAACGCCAATTGTCCGGTCCAGGTGGTTTTTCCTCCCTTGATTCTCAAAAAAGCCGGCGGGATTTCTCAGAAGCCCTCGCGTCTTCTGAGAAATTTTCGGCGGCGTCTTCGGGGAAGGCCCAGACGACTTCTCTCAGAAAGCCAGGGGACTTGCGAGCCTTCTGAGAAGGCCCGTCCCTTCTCGGTTTTGGGAGCCTCTTGGGCGGTGCTTTAGCGCCGGAAACACGAAACGGCGAGAATGCAACAACCATGTAAAAAGTACGTGGGATCAGCGATTTTGCCCTCTCGGGGCGCTCTTGGGCGGCATCTGAAAGGCCTCTTGGGGCGTCTTGGGGGCCTCCGGGGCAGTTTAAAACGCATCGCGCGACTCCTGGGGGCCTCGTGGGGCCTCTTGGAAGCTTCCTGGGGGCCTCTTGGAGCCTCTTTGGGGCACCTTGGGGCGGAGAGCTTGATTTTTCAGTTCGCGTCCCCTCTCTTGGCCCCTTTTTGGGTCCTTCTTGGGACCCTCTTGCGCCGTCGTGGGCGGCTCTGGAGCCGTCTCGGGGCCCTCTTGGGGGCCTCTTGGGACCTCTTGGAGCGGTTTTGGGAGCCACTTGGGCGGTACTGTAGCGTCGGGAACACGAGACAGCGAGAATGCCACATACATACACGCACACATACATACATACATACATACATACATACATACATACATACATACATACATACACATACATACATACATACATACATACATACACAGACATACATACATACATACATACATACATACATAAATACATACATACATACATACATACATACATACATACATACATACACACACATACATACATACATACATACATACATACATACATGTATGTATACACACATATATATACACATATATACATATATACATATATGTATGTATTTATACATACACTTATATTAAACACATGCTAAAACATGAACATGATAGATTTTGCCTTCTCGGGGTGCTCTTGGGCGGCAGCTGCAAGGCCTCTTGGGGCGTCTTGGGGGCCTCCGGGGCAGTTTAAAACGCATCGTGCGACCTCTTGAGGGCCTCGGTGAGCCTCTTGCGGGCTTCCTGGGGGCCTCTTGGGGCCTCTTGAGGGCATCTTGGGGCGGAGAGCTTGATTTTTCAGTTCGCGTTCCCTCTCTTGGGCCCCTCTTGAGGCCTTCTTGGGACCCTCTTGCGCCGTCGTGGGCGGCTCTGGGGCCGTCTCGGGGCTCTGTTGGGCCGTCTCGGGGCCCTCTTGGGCCGTCTTGGAGCGGTTTTGGGAGCCACTTGGGCGGTGCTGTGGCGTCGGAAGCACGAAACAGCGAGAATGCCACATACGCACACACACACACACGCACGCACGCACGCACGCACGCACGCACGCACGCACACACAGACAGACAGACCGACAGACAGACAGACAGACAGACAGACAGACAGACACAGACACACACAGACACACACACAGACAAACACACACACACAGACACACACACAGACACACACACAGACACGCACAGACACACACACAGACACACACAGACACACACAGACACACACAGACACACACACAGACACACACAGAGACACACGCAGAGACACACACATAGACACACACAGAGACACACACAGAGACACACATAGAGACACACACAGAGACACACACAGAGACACACACAGAGACACACACAGAGACACACACAGAGACACGCACAGAGACACACACAGAGACACACACAGACACACACACACAGACACACACAGAGAGGCACACACAGAGACACACACAGAGACACACACAGAGACACACACAGAGACACACACAGAGACACACACAGAGACGCACACAGAGACACACACAGAGACACACACAGAGACACACACACAGAGACACACACAGAGACACACACAGACACACACACACAGACACACACAGAGACACACACAGAGACACACACAGAGACACACAGAGACACACACAGAGACACACACAGAGACACACACAGAGACACACACAGAGACACACACAGAGACACACACACAGAGACACACACAGAGACACACACAGAGACACACACAGAGACACACACAGAGACACACACAGAGACACACACAGAGACACACACAGAGACACACACAGAGACACACACAGAGACACACACAGAGACACACACAGAGACACACACAGAGACACACACAGAGACACACACAGAGACACACACAGAGACACACACAGAGACACACACAGAGACACACACAGAGACACACAGAGACACACACACACAGAGACACACAGAGACACACACACACAGACACACACAGCCACACAGACAGCCACACACAGACAGACACACACACACACAGACAGACACACACACAGACACACACACAGACACACACACAGACACACACACAGACACACACACAGACACACACACACAGACACACACAGACACACACAGACACACACACAGACACCCACACACACACACCCACACCCACACACACACACCCACACACACCCACACCACACACCCACACACACACCCACACCACACCCACACATACATACATACATACATACATACATACATACATACATAATATATATATATATATATATATATATATATATATATAAATGTATATGTGTAGATATAAACACATATTTATATTAAACACAAGCTAAAACATGAACATGATAGATTTTACCCTCTCGGGGCGCTCTTGGGCGGCATCTGAAAGGCCTCTTGGGGCGTCTTGGGGGCCTCCGGGGCAGTTTGAAACGCATCGTGCGACCTCTTGGGGGCCTCGGTGGGCCTCTTGCGGGCTTCCTGGGGGCCTCTTGGGGCCTCTTCAGGGCATCTTGGGGCGGAGAGCTGGATTTTTCAGTTCGTTCCCTCTCTTGGGCCCCTCTTGAGGCCTTCTTGGGACCCTCTTGCGCCGTCTTGCGCGGCTCTGGGGCCGCTTCGGGGCTCTGTTGGGCCGTCTTGGGGCCCTCTTGGGGGCCTCTTCGGCCGTCTTGGAGCGGTTTTGGGAGCCTCTTGGGCGGTGCTTTAGCGCTGGAAACACGAAACAGCGAGAACGCGCGAAATGTTGAAACAAGTAATAAAAATCAGCGATGGTGCCCTCTCGGGGCGCTCTTGGGCGGCATCTTGACGGCCTGTCGGGGCGTCTTCGGGGGCTCCATGGCAATTCAAAATTGGACGCCCGAGTTATCCGGGGTAACTCGGGTCCGGGGTAACTCGGGTTTGGGTTCCCGAAAAACGAACCCGAGTTAGCCCTGACCCGAGTTACCCCTGATGATTCGGGGCTCTTGGACGCCCGAATTATCCGGGGTAACTCGGGTCCGGGGTAACTCGGGCTCGGAATCCCGAAAAAACGAACCCGAGTTAGCCCTGACCCGAGTTACCCCTGATGACTCGGGGCTCTGACGTATCGTGCATCACCAGAGACCCCTGGAAGGCGTCTTGGGGGTGTCTCGAGACCGTCTGGGGCCGCCGGGATTGCCGAGGGCACCACGTGTGGCGGTTTTGGGCCTCCCAGAGGCGGGCCGGCGCGCCGGGCCCCGCGTTTGCTGTCGGGGCCCCGGCCCCCGGCCCCCGGACCCAGTGCCCCGTTATATGTTATATCTATAACATATATACATATACTTATAACATATATATACACACTTACATGCATATACGTATTCTACATATACATTTGTACAGACATACATACATACATACATACATACATACATACGTACATACATACATGACGGCGCACCGGGCTCGGGGGCCGAAAGCCAGAACCTCGACCGCAAATGTGGGTGCCGGGGCCCGGGCCCGCCTTTGGGAAGCCTCAAATCGCCCCACTGGGCCTTCAGACAGCAATCCCGGCGCCCAAGAGGCCCTCAGGAAGCCCCCAAGAGGCCCCAAGAGACCCCCGAGACGCCCCAGGAGACCCCCAAGAAACCCAAAAGAGGCTCCAAGAAGCCCCAAGACGGCACCCAACAGGCGTCAAAACTCTTTCTAAGAGGCACCCGAAGACATGCCAAGAAGGTCCCATAACGTCTTCGAGAAGCAGTCCAGGATGCTCGGAGGCCCCACGAGGCCCCCAAGAGAGCCCAAGAGGCCCCCAAGAGATCCCCAAGCGGCCTCAAGCAACATCCAGGAGGCCGGAAAGAGGCCCCCAAGAGCCCAGCGGTCCAGGCGGGGGCCGAACGAACACCGTAAAAACTCGAAGTCGACGACGACGAGGACTCACGTCGGACGGTTGACAGGCGACGACAGGCGACGGAGAACGGACGACAAACGACGACGCATACGACGGCGACGAGGGTGGCGACGACGACAGACGAAGGACGACAGACGCAATCGTGGCTAATTCGACCAGGTTGCTTGCCACTGCTGACTTCTCTTCTTCGCTCCGCTACGCGCTATCCTTCAAGCTAGCTAGAACTTGAGCGCGCGCGAAACGCGCGCGATGGTTCTAGTATGTTTATGTCATTATTCTCGGTGGTTCAGAGATGGGGTCCTGAGAACTGGGGTGCTGAGGATGGGAAGGGATCCAAGGGTGGACTCACATTGCTAGAGGCATCTCGTCCATAGGATCCCAACCCTCAGGACTTCATCTTTGAACCACCGATGTTCGTTCCCCTCTGGGACGCGCAATAACGTCTTGTAGTATCTCGTTTCCCGAGCGGCATGGACAGGAAGCGCCAGCCACGGGGCTTCTGCTACAAGATCCCTCGGCGCGCGCGTGCCGCCACTCGGGGGTAACGCCCACATAGCATCAGTATGTTGGGGTGACGCCGACCTTATGCAAGGGAGCCTCCCTCTCCCACGTCGGCGATGCATCGGCGCGACGTCGGCGATGCATCGGCGCCGTCGGCGTGGAGACAATCGGGCTCTTCATCGAGCCGCACCGCCGATGCCATCGGCGATACCGAGCGCTTCTCCGACCCCGTCTGCTCCGAACCCATCTGGGAGGCCTGGGCCTATGCAAGGGAGCCTCCCTCTCCCGAGGACGAGGACGAGGCTGGGGCCTGGGACGGGGACAGGGACGGGGGCGTGTACGGGGAGGACAATGAGGACGAGGAGGACGATGAGAAGACGAGGACGATGAGGACGAGGGGGACGAGGGGGACGATGAGGACGAGGACGAGGGGGACGATGAGGACGAGGGGGACGAGAGGGACGAGGAGGACGAGGGGGACGAGGAGGACGAGGGGGACGAGGGGGACGAGAGGGACGAGGAGGACGAGGAGGACGAGGAGGACGAGGACGAGGAGGACGAGGAGGACGATCGCTGCGGGGGGGGTGGTCGGCGGGCGGCGGCCGCGGGCGCGCGGGAGCCTCCTTGCGGCCAGCGGACACGGGCGGTGGCGCCGAGGGCGCGGGCGGCCGGGCAGGGAGCGGGGCCTCCGAAGGGGTCCTCCTCCTCCTCCTCCTCCTCCTCCCTCCTCCTCCTCCCTCCTCCTCCTCGTCGTCCTCCTCGTCGTCCTCCTCCTCCTCCTCCTTAGCTCGGCGACTCAGAAAGGGGTGTGGTTTGCAGGGATTTGCACCTGGCGCTCCGCAGAATCTGCGGAATGCTCCGTAGATCCACGGAGCATTCTACGAGGGGTGGGAGCGCGTGACAACTCTGAATAGAGTATGGTTTGCAAGGGGTGTGGCTTTTGCAAACGACGCTCTTTGAGCGACCGACCGCCGGAGATGACCGACCGACGCGTGTTCACCAACATTCCCCAATTCACCAGGATGGAGCTGAAAAAAACAATCCGGGCTTTGAATAACAGGAAAAACGCCGACACTGATGGCATCGTTGCGGAGATGATCAAGCATGCTTCTGGCACGTTCATCGAGTGGCCACTGTTGTTCTACAACCAGTTTCTGTTGACTGGAGATGTGGAAGAGTCTTGGAAAGACACGTTGTTTGCATTTCTCCCTAAATCTGGGGATTTGGCGCAGCCGCAAAACTGGAGACCGATTGCCATATTCAAGACAACTTACAAGATATTCTCCCGAATGCTGTACCATCGTCTGCGTGACGCTCAAGTTTCACGAACACCGTCATGTCCCCACACACCATAACGTTTCTTGAAGACTGCGGTTGAAGCTGTTCCAATCTGTCTTTGGATGCAGCTCTGACCAAGCATCAAATACAATCCTTGGACGTCCTTCAAAACAAGATGCTACGTTTGATTGTTGGTTGGAGGCGTTGCGAGGGCGAGGATTGGGCAGACACCATGAGACGAATGCGGGACAATATTGGCCATTCAAGGCATATTTTTCCGATTGAAACATGGAGCGAACTATTCTGCCGCCGCTTGCTTAGATTTGCGTGCCGGTCGTCATGTTCGGACAATGAATGGACCCAACAAGTCATATTGTGGAGCCCGCGCTATACGCATGGGGCTACGAGGGCGCGCGGACGCCCTCTGACGATATGGGAGGACCGCCTTCAAGGATTTGCTCGTGATGTTTTGCATACTGTATCTCGCTGGTATGAATTTGTACATAAACGTGATGAAGACGCATTCGTCGAGTACTGCATTCACGCGTGAGGACTGCCCCCGCTCTTCTCCTCCCTCCCCCCTCCCCCTCGGAGGCACAACGTTTGCTCTCCGTTGCGCGCGTGCTTGTTCAGGCCATTGCGCTGTAGCCTCGCCCGTTTACGGGCCAACCCTTGCTGTTTGACCGGGCCTCTGTCTGTCTGTCTGTCTGTCTGCTCTTTGAGCAGGGGATCGACTGCCGAATCGATTTGCCCTGAAACTGACTTTCCCGTCGAATCTACGAAAACGTGGAATGCTCCGTAGATGTAAGTACTCTACATTCTCAGTCTTTCTAACAGATTCGAGGGGGAGTCGATTCTGGGGTAGATCCATTCGATCGTCGATCCTCTACTCGAGCCTTGGGGGCCGAATCGTCGATCCCCTACTCGAGCCTTGGGGTTGGCCGAGGCGCGTCCGTGGGGGTGACGGGGGCGGGGGTAGGCGTTTCTCGTTGTGTGCAGGGCGTCCGAGCGGGTTCGGGGGTTGGTGCCAGGGGGGGTTAGGATTCGGTAGTTGGTGCCAAAAAGGGTTTGGCCGCGGCCTGTTGCCACGTTTGTCTCCCCCCCGTGATCCGTAACAAATTCGGAGATCCCTAAAGCCTCCGTTCCCTGCGATCCGACGTGGCATGGAACAAATGCAAGGTCGTGAACAAACATGGTAGGAACCCCACACCCAGATCTTCCGCTCGTTTTTCGAACTGGATCGATCGGTGGTGGTCCCGAAGCCCGAAACCGGGCGACACCGCCCGAAAAGGTTGCAACGCCTGGATCTCAGGGCCGCGGGCCTGTCGCAACGTAAGGAGGTCGGGGGCCAGCAGCACCAGGCCGGCCGTGCGGCCAGCAACAACAAAGAGAGCGAGTGAGAACCAAGACACACATGGAGTCTGAGGTCGAGGGGGAGGAGGAGGAGCGCGACGACGACGAGACTCCTGGACGAGGGGCCCTTCTCCTCCCCACCCCATCGTGGGCCAGCAGCAACAAAGAGAGCACAGGGTGTCTTTCTGCTCGCCCCGATGGTAGCGATGTGGGGCTCTGCAGGCGCCACGCGTGCCCTGGCTCTTGCATCAGGTCTGGCATGTCCTCCTACAGGGGGATTTTCGACGAAACATAAAAAAGTACAACAATGCCCCACATTTGTCAAACATAATCAAAACATTGTCACTCGACTATGTCCGGACTATTTTTCAATACTCCTCCCGTGGAGGGACAGGCCCGCCTTGACTGTTGCACGAGGGGGCCGCGGCCCCGGTCAGCTGCACACGCAGAGGATGGTGCCGACGAGCGCCACGCGTGCCCTGACTCTTGCACGGGGGAGCCGCGGCCCCGAGGGGGGGGGGAGGGGGGGCAGGGACGACGAACTGCGCACGAGCGGACCGCGAGCGAGAATAAAGTGGGGGCCCATGCTAAGGAACACCCTGCTTGCCTCGAGGGTGCCCTGGGCTTCTTGGGGCTCGATGGCTTTGCGATGGAGAGCGCGCGTTCCCACACCAGACACCCGTGGACGTCCTGGGGTCTCAGGGTTGGGTTTCTTGCGGAAGGTTTATGGTGATCGGGCCCCCGCTGTATGAGGTTCCGCGGCCCGGGGGCGGGGGAGGTCAGAGAGGCTAGGGACGAGCCACAAGCGAACACAAAAAAGAGGTCCGAGCTCCAGGCCACACCTCTGCAAGGGAATCTCAATGGCCCGCAGGCTGGCCGTGCGGCCAGCCCTGCATGGCTCCCAGGCCTCCGACGCCATGCTTTCCTCATGACGTGGACCCCGGCGGTCTGGACCCCTTCGCCAGGGCCAGTTTCCCACCCCGAGTCGGCTGTTGACTGGTGGGCAACGAGAAGGGGGGACTGGCACAGGGGGGGATGCATCGACCTGGAATCGGCGATACATCGCCGATAGATCGGCGACAAGCCCCCGGTACAGAATCCGCACCGTCCTGGTGGGGTTGAGGCTATCAGCCCCCTATCGACGATCCATGTGAAAAGGGGTCCTTGGACACACAAATAAATAGATACAAACAATAGGATTCCCCATATTTCGCACATATGTTTTGGGTATTTGTTCTCCCCCCCACATCTTCTATGTTCCAATATTCTCTGGGGAAATCGACGATTCATTGTGTCTGTGTGCTTTTCCATGGGCGATTGGGGGTCGCGATGCATTCCCCCTTCATGTCCATCCCCCCCCCCTACTCCAGATTTTGTAATAAAAGGGAGGGGGTCTGGACCCTCCAAGACAAGCCATTTCAGACCTCCCCCGTGGGAGAACCCTCCAAAACATCGTCCCCAGACCCCCCACGCCCTCCAAGATAGCCTGGAAGAGACCCCCCCCGAAATGAGACCCCCCTCCCTTTATTACGAAATCTGGAGTATCCTTGCCTCTGACGGACGGTCCCGAGGCCCAGGAAGGCCCCCCCAGCTGCCGAACCTGGCGCAGCACACCGACGGGGCTTGGGCTGGCCGCACGGCCGCCGGCCTGCCAAGACGGCGGGGGGCTCCGCAAGAGAGAGAGAGAGAGAGAGAGAGAGCGACGGAGAGGGGGTGAGAAGAAAGAGGAGCCAGGGGATGAGAAGGAGGAGGAGGAGGAAGAGGAGGGGGAAGAGGAGAGGGAGGAGGAGGAAGAGGAGGGGGAAGAGGAGGAGGAAGAGGAGAAGGAAGAGGAGGAGGAAGAGGAGGGGGAAGAGGAGGAGGAAGAGGAGGAGGAAGAGGAGGAGGAAGAGGAGGAGAAGGAGGAAGAGGATGAAGAGGGGCGGGAGGAGGAGGAAGAGGAGGAAGAGGGGCGGGAGGAGGAGGAGGAGGAGGAGGAGGGGAGGAGGCGGGGAGGAGGAGGAGGAGGAGGAGGAGGAGGAGGAGGAGGAGGAGGAGGGAGGGGGAGGAGGAGGAGGAGGGGAGGAGGAGGAGGAGGAGGAGGAGGAGGAGGAGGAGGAGGAGGAGGAAGGAGGAGGAGGAGGAGGAGGGGAGGAGGAGGAGGAGGAGGAGGAGGAGGAGGAGGAGATGGAGGAGGAAGGGTTCGACTCCACACACTAGGGCGTCTCGAGCGCTTGCGAGGCTGCACTTGGGCAAGCCATAGCACTTTGAATGTGGGCTTTGACTACCACTTGGCTCCGCTTGGGGCCTTTTGGGTGCCTCTCGTCACACAAAGCTTGCCAAACACTTTGCCTGAATGTGGAATTGAATATGTTGAACCGTCGCTGGTGGAGACCCTTCAACGCACACTCCGTGTACTTACCACACTTCTTGCAAGCGAGGGCGAAAGAGTCGTCCTCAATCTTATCAAACACCAAAATATGTTGCCCGTTGGGCTGGATGGCAAGCTTGGCCAGGCCTGCCGCATTGCCTGGGCACTGCTCATTATCTCTGGCCTTCAAAGAGGCCTCCTTGATGCATCTCGAGTGGCAGACCATGCAGAGCCATCGGCTTTTCTGGCGACGCCAGACGTGGGCGGAACGGACGGTCCGAGGGGCCCCAGGGGGGGAGGGGTCGCCGCAGCCCCAGGCCCAGGCCCAGGCGGAGGAGGCGGAGGAGGAGGAGGAGGAGGAGGAGGAGGAGGAGGAGGAGGAGGAGGAGGAGGAGGAGGAGGAGGAGGAGGAGGAGGAGGAGGAGGAGGAGGAGGAGGAGTGCCAAGACGACGGGGGGCTCCGAAGGCGGCCTCCCCGCCGCCCGCGGCGGCCCATCTGGCGCCCAGCACGCCGCGCGGGGTGCCCACGGGCGCGCCGGGCGGCCCCGCCGCGGCGGCGGCGCCGTGCGGCTGACCCAGCGCCCGCTCGGCGCCCAGGCTCGGGCGGCGGGGCTGGGCCTGGCCGGGGTCCTGCGCGCGCGTCGGGCGTCGCTGAGGAGGGGGGGCGATGAAGGGAGGGCGAAGACCCAGAGATCCCGACGCATTGAATAAATCACGACGCAAGTTTTGCACAACTTTCGGCCTCCAGGGGCCCTTACGGGGCCTCGGGACCGTCCAACAACGACGCAAGATTAAAAACCCGTCCTGGGGAATGGGTCGAGGCTTCCGGGGACCCCGTATTGAAGACATCACGACATCGGATCTCTTGGGGAGCGCGCACCTGTCGTGCCCCTTGTCGGCCCCATGGGGGCCCTTTTCGGGCACAACGGGTGCGCGTTCTCTCGATTTCCCCCCCCCCCCCCCCTCTGAGATCCGACGGCGCGACAAGCTGAGGCATCGTGAGACATCACGACTGGGTCCCTGGACCCCCTCTCCCTGCGCCATTGTTGGAGCTGGACCGGCCTGTGAGGGTCCCAGGGCCCGAAACCCGACGAACATGTCCAGCTCGGAGAAGCTGGAACGCCAGAACTTCGGGGCCCCTCTTCATGTACTCCAGAGTTCGTAATAAAAGGGAGGGGGTCTGGACCCTCCAGGACAAGCCATTTCAGATCCCCCCCGTGGGAGAACCCTCCAGAACATCGTCCCCAGATCCCCCCAGGCCCTCCAAGATAGCCTGGAGGAGACCCCCCCCCCGAAATGAGACCCCCCTCCCTTTATCACGAAATCTTGAGTTCCCCCCCGTTCCCAGCCAGACCCCCGACGCCCTGACTTTTCCGCGACGTCGACCCCCAGACGTCTCGACCCCTCCCCCCTGGGGACCGTCGCTTCGTCCTGCATCGTTCTCTCACGGCCCCGAGGCTCGGCAGGGGCCCCCGAGGGCCGAAAGTGTGGACAAACCTTCCGCTGCGACTTCTCGCCCGAACGTCGTCGTCGTCGTCGTCGTCGTCGTCGTCGTCGTCGTCGTCGTCGTCGTCGTCGTCGTCGTCGTCGTCCTCGTCCACGCCCGAACGCGGCGCGCGCCTCGCCGGCCGGGCGGCGGGGCCCCCGAGGCGGCCCTCGGCGGCCCCGCCTCTCGGCGCCCCCAGCGGCCCCCGGCGGCCGCGGCCCCCGCGTCGGCCCTCGGGGGCCCGCGAGGGGCCGCACGCCGTGGCGGCGCGAGGTCTCGGCGGCGAGGGCCCCCCCCCCCGGGCCTGTTGGGGGCCATTCCCCCCCCCCTCCCTCCTCCCGACCTCGACCCCTCCTCCTCCTCCTCCTCCTCCTCCTCCTCTCTTCCCTCTCCTCCTCCTCCTCCTCCTCCTCCTCCTCCTCCTCTCGGCGTCGTGAGCAGGAAGGAATCGGGGCGGGAAGCGTTTTGCCCTGGGGGCCCCCGTTGGGGCTCCGGGGCCGTCAGGCAGCGACTCGGCACGAGAAAAAGCGGTCCTCGGGGAGGCACCGGGACGTCCGGGAACCGCGTGCGGAACAACTCAGGACGCCGCACGTCTGGGCCTGAGTCGGACTGGCGGCTCGTCGCAGCCCGCAGCCTGGCGCCTGCGAAGTGCGGGCGTGTGTCCGAGCGCGCGGGGCTGTCGCTCCTCCTCCTCCTCCCTCTCTTCGTCCTCCTCCTCCTCCGTCTCCTCCTCCTCCGTCTCCTCCTCCTCCGTCTCCTCGTCTCTCCGTCTCCTCCTCTCCTCCTCCTCCTCCTCCTCCTCCGTCTCCTCCGTCTCCTCCGTCTCCCTCTCTCCTCTCTCTTCTCCTCCCCTCCTCCTTCCTCCTCCTCCTCCTCCTCCTCCTCCTCCGTCTCCTCTTCCTCCTCCTCCTCCTCCGTCTCCTCTTCCTCCTCCTCCGTCTCCTCCTCCTCCTCCTCCTCCTCCTGCTCGTCGTCCTACTCCTCCTCGACAGCGGTTGCAAGCGGTGCAGCCCTCGCGATCCGGGCGGCGGCTGGCGGGTGTCCGCGCGCGCGGGGCTGTGGCTGGGGCTGGTGTCCGCGCGGGCGGGGCAAGATCAGTCAGCATCGAATCGGGAAATCGGATCGACTCGATGTGTGTGTGGTTGTGTGTGTGTGCAGTGTCGGATCGGGCCGCATCGGCACGGAGTCGGCTGCACCAAGGCATTCGTTCATCGTAGGTCTGCTCAGGGTGGTATTTTCGACCATTCTCAACTCGACGTGTGAGACATCATTTTATTTAGCATGTCCAAATCCCGACAAAACATGCACACGCGAAACAAACGATTGGGTTGATTTACTTCCGGGTGGGACACGCTCCTGGGTCCAAATTCAGGACGCAGGCTGCAAACGACACGCGTGCCATTGGGCGCCACGACCAGAAACGGGAGCCGCCAACAGGGTCGTCTAAGACGCCAAGTAAGAGGCAACGGTTTTTCCCCACATCCTGAGTGGGGTTCTTGTTTTCCCAGAACACCCTCTCCTTCCCACCCACCTCCCGCTCCATCTTCCATACAGCACAATATTATTCCTACCACACACACCATACCATACCATAGTTCCTACCACACATACCATACCATACCATACCATACCATACCACACCATACGTACCATACCGTACCATACCATACCATGGCGTACCATAGCATACCATACCATATCACACCAATGCCACACCGTACCATACCATACCATACCTCCAGTACCATACCATACCATATCATACCATACCGTACCATACCATACCTACCATACCATTCCATACCACTCCATACCGAAAACATACTATCCGAAAACCATACTATTTACATGGTTTCGTGCCCCTCCCACCCCTCCAGGGAGGCCCCGCCTGAGCGAGGAGGGTATCGGAAAACCATACTATTTACATGGTTTCGTGCCCCTCCCACCCCTCCAGGGAGGCCCCGCCTGAGCGAGGAGGGTATCGGAATACCATACTATTTACATGGTTTCGTGCCCCTCCCACCCCTCCAGGGAGGCCCCGCCTGAGCGAGGAGGGTATCGGAATACCATACTATTTACATGGTTTCGTGCCCCTCCCACCCTCCAGGGAGGCCCCGCCTGAGCGAGGAGGGTATCGGAAACCATACTATTTACATGGTTTCGTGCCCCTCCCACCCCTCCAGGGAGGCCCCGCCTGAGCGAGGAGGGTATCGGAAACCATACTATTTACATGGTTTCGTGCCCCTCCCACCCCTGCAGGGAGGCCCCGCTGAGCGAGGAGGGTATCCGAAAACAATAGTATTTACATGGTTTCGTGCCCCTCCCCCCCTGCAGGGAGGCCCCGCCTGAGCGAGGAGGGTATCCGAAACCTATACTATTTACATGGTTTCGTGCCCCATCCCACCTCTCCAGAGAGGCAAAACCATACTATTTACATGGTTTCGTGCCCCTCCCACACCTCCAGGGAGGCCCCGCCTGAGCGAGGAGGGTATCCGAAAACCATACTATTTACATGGTTTCGTGCCCCCCCACCTCTCCAGGGAGGCCCCGCCTGAGCGAGGAGGGTATCGGAAAACCATACTATTTACATGGTTTCGTGCCCCTCCCACCCCTGCAGGGAGGCCCCGCCTGAGCGAGGAGGGTATCCGAAAACCATACTATTTACATGGTTTCGTGCCCCTCCCACCCCTCCAGGGAGGCCCCGCCTGAGCGAGGAGGGTATCGGCTGGCCACTCCTCGCCAGGTTTCGTAGCCCTCCCCCATTCCAGCGGGGCCCCGCCAAAGCGAGGAGGGCATCAAGAAAATGGGTCCCACGAAACCGTTAATCTCTTTATGTGGGGAACTCCGTTCGCATAATTCGTTGAGCTGATCGTATGTGTTTTATGTTTCTGCGTTTTCCACGCGTCGTTTCCATCGTCGGGATCCGGTGCGGACGGGTCGTGGGCTCCCAAGCTTGTTTCGCACTAGTGTCAAGCCGGTCTCAGAGCGCTTTTTCACCATTTTCAGCTCTGCGCACGGGAACCACTTTCAGCCCCCGCCCCATTCATGGATGCTGCGACGAGAACGGGAGAGCGGAAGCGAAAGCTGAAGGGAAGACGAAGGACAACATTCGACAAGAGTACACAGAGAACGCTTCATAAAGAAACGTAGATGCTCCACAACGACCGGCCTGAAAACGCTAACAACAACGATACAACACGCGCTGGAACATGTGTTGTTTTAGCGCTTTCATCCTCCTGCTGGCATTGCCCCCTCCTCCGTCGCCCCAGAGACACAGATCGCGGTCGCTGCCCCTTAGCGAACTTCAGGCTCTCTCTCGGTCTGCATCTCCCTCCAGCTATCCCTTCGTCCCGATCTCCCCGGCTATCTTCCTCTCGGTCCACATCTCAGGCCGTCACTTGGGCCCGCCGCCCACGGGTGACATGACCTTCGGCGCCGTGGGGTTGGGCATTCGGGGCTGTTCTCAAGCCCCGCTGGCGCAAAACGTTATACAGGATTCGGCCTGGCCTAAGGAACGATACATAAGGAACGAAGCCCCTTTTATCCAAGTAAGTCTAGGAAGTCCGAATGAACACCAAGAGGGCTCGCCGCCAAAAGGGAGCGGAACGCATGCAGGCCCAGGGAACGACCGAGCCCCTTTTGAAGAGTTCAGTGTTCCTTACTCAAGCTGGACCCTGTATCACTAGGGGTGGGGCCCTCCCCGCCCCTTCCCCCCCTCCCAGAAAACGCCCGTCACGCCCGAAGGATGGCAACACCAAGCCTCCAAGCGAAGCCCCTGAGAGTACGCGCGCGCCCGAAGAAAAGCACCGCCCAGGGAGCAAGGACTGGTTGGCAGAAGCCGGGGACCGAACGCCAGCCCACGGGGGGTGGGGTCGGTTCTTGTTTCAGGTTGGACACGTCCTCTTACAGGCGGAGAATTGACGAAAGCTAGAATCAGCAACAAGAGAAACTAACATAGCCAAGAGGAAGTAGAGCAGTCGCCCCAATACTATTTTTGGAGTTAAGTATTCCTCCTGTAGAGGGACATGCCGCGCGTTCCTCGGGCGGCTCCCTGGCGGTGGCCCGTGCGGCGGCCCTCGGGGGCCCCCGGCGGGCGGCCCTCGGGTCCGCGGAGGCCCATCGGAGGCTCTCGGGGTCCCTCGGAGGCCTCGGAGAGGGGGAGGAGGGAGAAGGAGGAGGGGGGGGAGGAGGAAGAGGGAGGAGGAGGAGTTGACTTAATCCTTTCCTGGCCCCTCCCCTGGCCGAGAGCCCCCGCGCTCCTCCAGCCGCGGCGCGCGCTCCGCCAGCCGCGGTGTCCGAGGCTGCTCCGTGCTGGGCATCCACCACCTGGCTGGCCGGCGGCCCAGGCCCGAAGGGGGGGGCGAGAGCGATCCGGACCCCCCTCCTCCTCCTTCCGAGAGCGATCCTCCGACCCCTCCTCCCCCTCCTCCCTCCTCCCTCCTTCCTCCTCCCTGTCCTCCTCCTCCTCCCTCCTCCCCCTCCTCCTCCTCTCCTCCTCCTCCTCCTCCTCCTCCTCCTCCTCCTCCTCGCTTCTCCTCTATCCTTCCTCCGCCTCCTCCTCCTCCTCCTTCCCCCTCCTTCCTCCCGCCTCCTCCTCCTCATCCGCCTCCCCTCCTCCTCTCTCCTCCTCCTCCTCCTCCTCCTCCTCCGCCTCCGCCTCCGAGATGGCCACGAAGCCTGCCAAGCCTCCCTCGCTGTTTGATTATGCGTGTCTCTTCCTCTCTCCCCCTTTCAACTCTTATGGGCATCGTTTCTGGATGGGCTTGTGGGGATACGAGAAGCGTCACTAATAGCCAAACCATAATAAATATTCAGCAGTAACCAATAAAAATAGAAAAATCGCCTCCAGACTATTTTTTTGACAAGTCTCGAATAATCCTCCTGTAGAGGGACATGCCCGACTTAGCCCTAGGACGGCACAGCTTGTGCTCGTGTGAAGCATGTGAGCGCCAAACAAAATGGAGTCTTGCGCGAGACGACGTCGCGACCTGACGCGGTGGCTTGCGCGGGCCGCCAGTGCGGTACGATGCAATGGGAACGAGGGCGCTGACGCGCGATCTTACGCGGGGAGCTTACGCGCCAACGTCGCGCAATCGAACCCGTTTCTTCCGTCGCTCATATGCGTTTGGGACCCTGGTGCCTTTTTGTTTGTCCTCTCTCTCTCTCTTTTTCTTTCTCTCTCTCTCTCTCGCGCAGTCTCTGTCTGTCTGTCTGTCTGTCTGTCTGTCTGTCTGTCTGTCTGTCTGTCTGTCTGTCTGTCTGTCTGTCTCTCTCTCTCTCTCTCTCTCTCTCTTTCGCTCTCCCTCTCTCTCTCTCTCGCTCCCTCTCACACACTGAAGCGAGGACATCGTTCGAGGCAGGCACTCTCCACTCACGCGCGTGCCGTTCGCATCACGCGCCGAACGGAAAGAGATTGCCCAGCAGATCTGCACCCCCCAATCGAGAGGCGTGAACGCCGATGCGCCCAGGCCGAAGCACCGACCCGAAAGCAAGCAGATCTGCACCCCCCCAATCGAGGAGGGGCGAACGCCGATGCGCCCAGGCCGAAGCACCGACCCGAGAGCACCGTCACAACACATCGCCAGCAGGGACGGGTTGCCTCTGCCCGAGCCGCCGTGCCCCCAGGGGGGGCCCGGCAGGGCTCCGAGACAGGCTCGAGGTGGCCCCAGGAGAGGTGCCCCCGAGAAGCGCCCAGGCGGCCCGAAGTCACAGACCCCACGCGAGGTCTTTCCACGACGTGCACGCCCCACCGGTCTGCACCTCTGGCCCAGGACCAGCCTTTCATAGAGGAATAAGAACTATGCACATGCACCGACTCTGGCCAGGCCCATCCTGAGCCCAGGATCGGTGCATACGCCCTCCTACCTTGGCCAGGAAGGCATATGCACCGATCCTGGGTCAAGGATGGGCCTTGCCAGGATCGGTGCATGTGCATAGTTCTCGTCGCCCGACCTTTCATCCTGAGCCGCTTCTTGATCGGCGGTGGACAAACCTCCCTTTCGTAGACCTCCCCTTAGTGAAAACGGCCCTGGACCGAATCCGACGGACCTGGACCCGCAAAAATGACGGCCGCGACGCCCTCTCGCAAACCGGAAACGGCCTATTCCTCAATCGACGTGTCAGGGTAGGAGGTCTGTCCACCCCCGACTTGACAGCCCCACGGCTCGGTCAGGGCACCCAAAAGCGGACCGTTGCCAAAACCCTGCCGTCGTCATTACGCGAGGGGGTCTGGGTTGGTGGAGCCCCAGAGCAACTTCACTGGAACGCTCTCCCTGCTCAGGGGCAACGAAGGGGAGGGGACCGGCTCGCGGGGGAAACACACCGCCCTGGGATCGGGGATTCCTCGCCGGCAGGTCGGCGGTGTGCCCGAGATAACGAGCCTGCGCCTTCCCAGACGGGGTGTGCGTCTCGGGCCTCTGTCGGCGATCAGTGGGCGGTCCCTGGCGGCGCGCGCAGGGGGGGGGCAGAGGGAAGGGGGGCAGGCTTCTCAGAAGACGGCTCCTTCGTAGAAGAAGGCTGCTCCTGAGAAGGCGCCGGCCCTGCATCCACAGACGAGGCCCGCGCCTTCTAAGAAGCAGGGGTGCTTTTGAGAAGCCTTCTCCCCTCGCCTCCCGTGAGGGGTCTGGCATAGCGGGACACATCGACCTGGAGTCAACGATACATCGCCGATAGAGGGGCGATAGGCCTCCGATAACGAATTCGCATGTTCCTGGGCAGGGCGGGGCTATCGGGCCCTTATCGACAATGAATGGGCAATTCGGGGTCGATGCGTTCCCCCCCCCCCCCCCACCCTTTATCGTAGCCCCCGACTGCCCCCCTCAGCGCGTGGCCGAGATTCCTCGTCGACGCGTCCCCCCCTGAGCCTATTCCCCCCCCTTAACCTTGCCCCGGACATCCGCTCCGGCTCCCCTTCCGGCTGGGGGAGGGGGTGCGCCTCTGCGACGCCGCGCCGCCGACGTCGGGCGCCGCCGCCTGCGAGAGGGCGGGGGGGGGAAGCGCAGGGGTCCTCCTCCAACCGATGCTTCAGCAATGGGGCCTCTCTCCCAGTGGCCTGGCGGCTAGAGAACATCGAGACGGCCGGCATTTACCCTTGTTGGCCCCCTCTGAATCGACAAGGGGGCCCGAGGCCGTCAGCAAACGATTCAGGACGAAGAGCTGGGCACGGGGAAGGGCTCGAGAGGCACCTCTCACGCGTTCCGTGGCCCCACAGGGGGGCTCCACTGACAGCGGCGTGCAAAGTGCGGCGCTCACTGCACGCTTTGGCAAGTCCGGGGCTTGGAATGCATGCCCTTCTGGGCGGTCCCCGTCAGGGGGTTCTGCCACCCCCTGGCCTCACGCGCCAGCTTCTGCAACGACATCCTGGGCGAGCTGCGGCGACAACGCGAGTCCGTCCACGGAGCCCCCGAAGCAATCTTTCCAGCTGCGAGCGCTGACCAAATCTCGCCAGAGAGCTGCGCTAAGCCCCGCCACTCCGTGGACGCGCGCCGGCTGGCCAGATGCAGGCGAAGAGGCCTGGAGGCGACGAAGAAACGGTGCAAGTGCCAACTCCTGATGATTTATTTCCCGGCAGCGGAAACACATGTATGAATAGCGACCACGGTGAGCACAACCCCCTCCTGGATTTGCTCAAGGCGTTGGATTGGTGGCGCGCGTGGGTTTGTCTCGAAGGTGGTCGCGTTCCACGAAAGCGGGGGGCCGTTTTGGAAGCCAGGGGCCGCAGTAAAATGCCCTCGGGCAATAAAGGAGCCTTCGTAATAGCCAGACGGGCTTCCAAGAAACCATCTGCTTCCCCAGAATCGAATAGGGGATCGAGTGCAACATTGAATTGCTCCAAATGTGGTTTTCCGTCAGTTCCACCAGAAACAACGCACAATGCTCGCGTGTGTAGATATACGCACTCGAACATTCAACCTCCTTTTTTTCTGTAGTCTCGACGGACAATTCCAGTTAATTGCGCATCAAGTATGCTGGAGATCCCATACTCGACAAGAAGTCCCCCCGCACTTCTCCGAAGGCCGCCACCCTCCTCTTGCGCCCCTCCCCTGGCAATGCCAATGGGGGTCACTACTGTGGGTCACCACCTCCTCGAAGAGGATGGCCCTCTTGATCCGCCCCAAAACCCGCAAAACCTCCACGAACGCTCAGCGTCCTCCAGACTTCGAACACGGAGTCGACTACATAATCGGTTTGCCCCAGTTTAGTGTTTCGCCGAACCTGCCAACATCGTAAGAAAAGTTCGTGGGATCGACGAATCGAAACAAAATGGGGATACATCAATTGTGCGGTCGTTCCCCAACTCGAAGCCTCGAGCCTCAAGAGACGTTGGCGCCCTGAACCAGGGTCCCGCCTTCTTGGGCGGCCGCCCCCCCCGTCGCCGCCACCTCTCCGTGCGAGCCGCCAGATCGGGCCTCAACTGGCGCACCCGTGGGACGTTCTCGACGAAGCGCAGCTGAGGGACAATTGCGTAGATATACAATCGAACATGCTCGACAACTCCTCTCTATAGCAAGGCCGAGGGAGGTCACCGCCAGAGTGTCACCATCTCCTCCTTAATATCGAGAACAAGTACCGCTGCGCTGAGACGCCTGCCAACTGCGCGCCGTGAAACCAAGGTCCTTGCAATCTGCAAGCGCTAACTTCGCGCCCCTCGTCAGGTGTTCCGTCCCCTGCGCGCTACTGATGTGGCGATGCCGTGAGAACTCTAGACTTCACGCCGCGCGCGTCAATCCTTGCTCGAGCCATTTTGCCGCGTCGGCACTCCCTTCGTAGCTATGCCGCGGTTACCACAGACCCCGCAAACTACTCTGGCTCCTTTCTGCTTCCGGTGATCCTCCACTTGCTCCTTCTTCAAATGTTTCGTGTCCGAAGACGCTACCCGACACGCAGCGCAAACCAGCGGCTCCGACTCTGCCTCCGCCTTCCTCTGGCGATTCGCCGCCTCGTAATTCGCTTTCCGGACCGGGATGAATACCCAGAGCTGGAGACAGGTTTGGAGCTTCGGGGGGCCACGCCTTGACATTGACCAGGGCATCGGATGTCTGGGAGTGGAGAACGGCAGGACCTTTCTGGCCACGGCGAGAAATCGGCCACGAGAAGGCTCACCATAAGCAGAACCCCCCTCGTGAACAAGGTAGAGCCCCAGCCTTGCCTGCACATGCGGGCGGAACGATGCGTGCAAGTCCAAGCCAGGACGAGGATGAATTCGGGTGAGGATGCAATCGCCAACTGTGGGTGTCCAGGCGTGTGGGGCTGCTCCCCGCCCGTTTGGCTCGCCAACTGTGGGTGTCCAGGCGTGTGGGGCTGCTCCCCGCCCGTTTCCCCCCCCCCCCCCCCCCTCGTGGGCAGATAGAGAGCTCCCCTAATTACGGCCCAGAGAGGGCCCCAAGACGGTCCAAGAAGGCCCCGAGTCGGTGCAAGATCGCTCCAAGACGCCCAAGACGGACTCCAGGGGGCCCACGATGCCCCCACGACACCCCACCACCCACCCTCTCGCTTGCATCTGCACCAGCATCACCCTGGACGCCCACCCAAACCATAGGAAACAATCTACACTCAAGGGGGGCCGGCTGCTGTGGCGTAAGCTTATAGAATCCACGTCGGGACTTCAGCGAAGGGTCTCGGCAATCCGACAGGAGGGGTGTGTGACGCAAGGGCCCGGTCATCATGCGTCAAGGAAGGGCCATTGCAAAACATAGTACCCTTATACATTGCAAAGGATTTCCCCTAAATCTTTCCCATGACCCCCGCCGAATCGCCAACCCATTCGTGCGAAGTTGGAAAACCCATCAACAACCGGTGGAAAATACTTGATGTTGGCTTTGTGGGGCCCCTTGGAGTCCACAGGGGAATCACGACGGCTCAAGATGGCTTCAAGACGACCCGCGACGGCTTCAGGACGGCCCAAGATAGCCCCAATAGGGCCGCTGAGGCCAAAAAGAGAGACCCCAAAAAACCTCCAAGAGCGCCTCCAGAGGCGTAAAACAATATTTGCCCGTAGGTGTTTGCATGATTTAGGCGTTTTCGCAGTTTCGAATTTTCGGCCGCCCATAACGGCCCAAGCAGCCTCCGAAATGACCCCTTGCGGCCCAAGGGGTTCCCAGATGGCCCAAGAGGGCCCCAAGATTGCCCAGAATGGGCACCCAAAATGGTCCAAGAAGCCCTCAAGACGGACCACGAGGACCCTAAGAGAGCACCAAAGTGGAACCAAAAAGCCTCCAAGACGGCGCCCGCAGGGTCCAGACGGCGCAAGAGCGCTTGAAGACGGTCCAAGACGTGTCCAAGAGGCCCCAAAGAGGCCCCCTAAAGGCCGCAAGATGCCCCCAACGAGGCTTCCAAGAAGCCCCCTTAGAGGCCCCATCGATGCGTGCAACTTGGACAAACCTACAACAATGCAAAACGACACCCAAGATGGCACACAAAATGCTGGAGGACGGCCCAAGGAGGCCCCGAGGCGCCTGTCGAGGCCATGCGGGGAAACATTGCAAACACCTTCAACAACAAAATAACTCTATGATTTTGATTTCTTCGGCCTCCTAATGGTCCAAGAGGCCTCAAGAAAGCTCAAGATGCTTGAAGACGGCCCGATTGCGCAAGGGGGGCCCAAGACGGCCCAAGACGCCCCGAGAGGCCCCCAGAAAGGCCTCTAGGAGGTCCCCAGAGGCCCCCTAGAAGCTCCCCAGAGGCCTCAGAACGACTGGGCTGTACGTGGTCCGGGCGTGCACCCCGCGAAGCCAGAGGAATCAAGGACACAAGAGGAAAGAAGCTCGATGATCGGAGACACTCTGGACGTTTTCTGGTGTCTTGCAGAGTCCTGGGGGATCCAGGAGGGTCCGCTTCCTAGAGGAAAGGGCGACCCCCATTTCCGCACACCCCTCACGTTCCGTGCCCCCACAGGGAGCTCCACAGCCCGGAGGAGGAGGAGGAGGAGGAGGAGGAGGAGGAGGAGGAGGAGGAGGAGGAAGAGCAGGAGGAGGAAGAGGCGGAGAAAGGAGGATGAGGAAGAGTAGGAGGAAGAGGAGGATGAAGAGAAGGAGGAGGTCCACAGCCCTCAGGGGGAAGTTCGCGTGCGGTCTCCCACGCCCTTCATACGAAACATGGCCACACGGGGAGCTCCTCCGACGTCCCATTGGCATTGCCCTGCTTTCGGCACATCACTCGGGCCTCGGCCCGAAGCCCTCGGGCGTGCTTTTTGGGACGACGCCGGCACCCCCAAAACGCTCTCGGCGAGGCGCAACTGATAGCAACCGCCCAGGGCTTCGAATGTGTTCCGATAACAAAACCCAGATAACTTGAGAAAGAACAGCTCGCCGCCACCTCCCCGTGCGAGCCGCCAGGCCCGAGGGCCCGTAGGGGGCCGCCGCATGAAGGAGGACGAGGAGGAGGAGGATGAGGAGGAGGAGGTGGAGGCGGAAGGAGGAGGAGGAGAGAGGAGAAGGGGAGGCACAGAGGAGGAAGGAGGTGGAGGAAGAAGGAGGAGGACGAGGACGAGGAGGGACGAGGAGGAGGAGGAGGAGGAGGAGGAGGAGGGAGGAGGAGGAGAAGGGGAGGCAAGTGGAGGAAGGAGGAGGAGGAGAAGGAGGAGAGAGGACGAGGTGGACGAGGAGGTGAGGAGGAGGAGGGGAGGTGGAGGAGGAGGAGGAGGAGGAGGAGGAGGAGGAGGAGGAGGAGGGGGGGACCAGGAGGAGGAGAGGAGGGAGGACGAGAGGAGGGAGGAGAGGAGGAGGAGGCGGATGATGATGAGGAGGAGGAGGAGAAGGAGGAGGAGCACGAGGGAGGAGGAGGAGAGGGGTTATGGGCAGTATGAGAGGTGAGGAGGAGGAGGAGGGAGGAGGAGGAGGAGGTGGAGGGGTGGAGGGAAGAGGCGGGAAGAGAAGCGGAGGAAGGAGGGAGGAAGAGGAGGAGAGACGAAGATGAGGAGGTGGAGGAGGATGAGGAGGTGGACGAGGACGAGGACTGAGAAGGAGCTGGAGGAGGAGGAGGAGGGTAAGAGGAGGCGGAGGGAAGAGGAAAGAGCGGAAGAGGCGGCGCGAAGAGGAGGGAGGAGGAGGAGGAGAAAGGAGGAGGAAGAGGATGAGGATGATGATGATGATGATGATGGGAGTGTGGAGGAGGAGGACGAGGATGAAGGAGGAGGAGGAGGGGGGAGGAGGAGAAGGCAGGAGGAGGAGGAGGAGGAGGAGGAAGTGAGGGAGGGGGGGATGGGCGAGGGGGAGGAGAACGATGATGATGATGGTGATGATGTATGTGATGATGATGCTGATGTGATAATGATTGATGATGAGGATGAGGAGGGAGGAGGAGGAAGAGGCGCGAAGAGGAGCAGAGGAGGAGGAGGAGGAGGGGTGGAGGGGGAGGGGGAGGAGGAGGATGAGCACGTGGACGAGGTGGAGGAAGGCGAGGAGGAGCACGAGGACGAGGAGGAACAACAGAGGGAGGATGGAGGAGGATGAAGAAAGAAGAGGGAGGGGTGGTGGTTCAGGAGGATGAGAAGGAACATGAGGAGGAAGGATAATCAGGAGGGAAGAGGAGGAGGAGGAGGGAGAGGAGGAGGAGGAGGAGGAGGAGGAGGAGGAGGAGGAGGAGGCGGAGGAGGGAAGAGGCGGGAAGAGGCGGGAAGAGAAGGAGGAGGACGACGAGGAGTAGGGGGAGGAGGAGGAGGAGGAGGAGGAGGAGGAGGAGGACGAGGAGAATGAATAGGAGGAGGAGGAGGACGAGGAGGAGGAGGAGGAGGAAAAGGAGGCGCACCCTTCTGCTTCACAGACGAGGGTAGCTGTTTCCATATAGATCAGGGTAATCTAGCTCGAGCTGGTTGGTCAGTCATTGAGCGCGACGCGCGGGCGAACATGTTGAGGGCGATGTGTGGCCCCGTTCCCGATGGTCTCCCGCAGACGGCGCCAGGAGCCGAACATCACGGTTTGATGCAAGCGCTCGACACCTCAACCAACATTTTCCTGATGACAAGGCCGTGCACGTAGATTGTCAGGCCTTAGTTCAGGGAGCTCTGAATATGCTTTGGGCCAAGAACCTCTCGGCCCCACACGCGGGAGATTGGCGGATAATGCAGAAGCTGGCCTGTGATCGCAGCCTCCCTCCGTGAATGAAGATCAAAACTCACAGGGCGCTCGAAGATGCCGCCTCAGAGCTAGACGAATTGCATATTCTTGGAAATCGCTTGGCTGACAAGTGGGCCAAGGAAGCGGCTCGAGCCAACGGTTGGCCCACCACTGGTTTGATTCGTTTCGAATATGATATGTCTTTGGTTTCCGGGGTAGCCCAGGCTATGCTAAGCCTTCTTTAGCTCTGGCCCCCCACACGTGAGCTCTCAGGACCCCTCCGGCGCCTCCCAGGGCCTCCGAGTGTCAAGAGCGCCATCGCGAGGGTGCCCCATACCCAGGTACGGGATGGGAAAGAATGGAGGTGTGTGGCGTGCCACAGATCGGGATCCCGTTTGGTGGCCACCACGCGTTGTTTCTCTCTGTCAGCTTCGTTCCAAGATGTCCTGGATGTGGCACAGGAGCCAGGATATAGGCACGAACTGTTCGTCACGTCGGTCAGAGCAGCCGGTATGCTAGTGTCTTTCTGCGACTCAGAAGGCCCACATGCCATCCTCCGGCCGTCACCCCCGACCTCCGGAAGTTACGGAGAGGAATCTTGCCAGGAGGAGGGTCTGTTGAGCTCAACCCTCCCTGGCACCTCTTTTCTGCACCACCCGCGGGCGCCACCGTGCAGCGCCTGGCGGTCACGGGGCCGCGCCGCGCTGGGAGAGAGAGCGAGGGTAGGTAGCGCGAACGCTCGGAGAGGGCCTAGGGTGATTCCCCTACCCTCTCCCACAGGGCTGAAAAGGCTGAAAAGGAGGAGGAGGAGGGCGGAGGCGGAGGCGGAGGAGGAGGAGGAGGAGGAGGAGGAGGAGGGGGAGGAGGAGGAGGGCGGAGGAGGACGTGCTGGAGGAGGAGGGGGAGGAGCAGCAGCAGGAGCAGGAGGAGGAGGAGGGAGGAGGAGGAGGAGGCAGAGGAGGAGGGGTCGATGGGGGGGGGGAGGCCGCCGCGGGGGGCCCGCCTGCGAGGCGCGCGGGCTCGGGAGTTGCGGCAGCCTCAAGATCTCGTTGCCCTCCTCGGGCACGGGGCCGAGCGAGGGGCGCGCCCGGATCCCTGCGCTCCCCAGAGCTCCCCTGCCAGAGCAGAAAGGCACAGCGTCCAATCGTCGAGCAAGAAATCGACGACATAACTGATTCACCCAACATTTTCTCCGTCGAGTCTGCAAAACAACAGCAAGTTCGTATATCCACGAACATTATAATGTTCGTAGATTCGACGAAAGAATCACTGATGGTATAAATCAACTCTGTAGTCGATCCCCCAATCGAAACCTGCAACGCCCATGCTGGGGTCGCCGCCGAGCCGACGCGGCGCGAACCTATTGCAGGGTAGAGAGGCTTTGCAGGGAGGCAAGACCGATTGACATCGGATCGGGACACCGGACGCGATCGGAGCGTGCGCTGGCTCGGGCCGATGTTTTTGCCACCGCATTGCGACGTGATGGCCACCGCATCCTGTTTTCACGGCCACCGCACCTCGATTGCAGATCGCTCGCGCACTGCTGCCGCCTAGGGCTCATTGGTTCGGCGGCAAGTCATGGGAGCCTCCCATACCATCTTGTCGGCTCTTGCGGATCGACGCTAATCGACGCTAAATCGACGCTACTCGACGCTGAATCAACGCTAAATCGGCGGTATCTCAGCGACTCCAGACGCTAATCGACGCTACTCGACGCTACAGACGGAATTCAGAGGGTATACCAGGCTCCCATAATTTCCCACCGAACATTAGCGGACCGACATCGAATCGGGACACCGGACGAAAGGAGGTGGAGGAGAAGGAGTAGAAGGAAAGAGAAGGAACGATCCCCCACGGCTCCCTCGTGACTGATTGCATTGGAACCACCGACCCTCGTCCCCCATCTCGGGGGCGTGCAAGAGGGCGGTGTCCGAGAGGGGGGTGCGAGAATCGCGGCCGGCGGCATCTGCGCGTCCCAGGGGAGGTCCAGGGAACGCATTGAAATAAGGAAAGGGGCGCCATGAAATCTGGGGAGATCTCATGGCCCCCGCCATGATATCCACCCCCCCCTGGTCATCACCCCTCTCTTTGCCGCCCCCGAGATGGGGTCGGAGCGTGCGCCGGATCGGGCCGCAGCGCCACGGGCCCAGAAGCGGGGCCAGAGCGGCCGCGCCAGCGCCGTCGAGCACACGACCACACGAGCGCCGATCGTAAGGCCAGGAGCCCCTTCGGCGAGGGCCCAGGGACACTTCGAAGGGGGCCCAGGGACACAAAAAGGAACAATCTGTTCAAATACCAGGACTTCTAATCTTTTCTGGTGTTTGCTCGATTTTCGTATTCCCCTCCACTTTCGATATGTTCCACTAATTTCCTGGGGATCGACGCTAGTTGTGTCTGTGCTGATTTTCCCCTCCTGACACATGGAGATACCCAACAGGATCAGCATTTCAGGGTGGAGAGCTCAACGGCGAAGAATGGCAGGGTACCCCTCAAAAGCTATGATCGTTCTGATCCTCCTCGGCATTCTGGCCCGAATGCACACCGAGAGAGGTCTGGGGACTAGCGGTATCGTGATCTGTTTGTCCCCCCACTCTCATCCTCGAAGTTCTCTTCGCCGTTGTCGTCGATGTCGTCGTTTCGGAGGTCTATGGTCGCTTCTAAAGATTCTCATCGGCACGGCTGGACACGGCTCAGAAAACTAGCCAGGACGGACCCCGGGTGGGATCCAGGGAGTTGGTCTTGACCAGCTTTTGGTCGTCGTCGTCGTCGTCGGTTTCGTAATGTTTCGTGAACCCAAAAAACAAGAGAAGGTTTCAGGCAAATTTCGGCCCTTGGGGGCGTCAGAAACTTCCCCGTGACGAGGCACCGGTGCCAGGGAAGGACTCCAGCACTCTGGCGGGGTCGACACTATCTGCAAAACAACGGCGCCGGGGCTCTGGGCCTCCCGGGCTCCCGCGCTCGGCCGAGGAGCGACAGGAGGAGGGAAGGAGGAGGAGGAGGAGGAGGAGGAGGAGGAGGAGGAGGAGGAGGAGGAGGAGGAGGAGGGGGGAGGAGGAGCAGGAGGAGGAGGAGGAAGAGGAAGAGGACCGACCTCGGCCTGTCTGCCGGCCCACCGCAGGCCTTCGACACGACGCGGGCGGCGTGATGAGAATCGGCCCGGACCGCGTGTCGTCGGCGGAGCTGCGCGGGGCGAGCGGCAGGCGCGCTGGGCGAAGGCGCGTCCTGAGGGCCGCCGAGCCTCCCGCGAGCGCCACCGCGCGGAGGCCACCCGGCCCCGGGGATCCTCGGGAGGCGCTCCTCCCTTGGGATCCCGCGGGGCGGGAGGCGGACACCCGCGTCGGCGAGGAGGAGGAGGAGGAGGAGGAGGAGGAGGAGGAGGAGGAGGAGGAGGAGGAGGAAGAGGAGGAGGTCCGAGCAGGTGGGGCCGGAGGGTCGCGATGCATCGCCGATGCATCGACGACGCATCGGCGATCCAACGGCGGCGTCGTCGCCTGGGCCACTCTCCCCGTCGCCCCAGGAGCACGCCACTCCAGTTCAGGCAGTCGCCGCAGGCGAGGCCGCCCTCCCCCTGCCCCCAGGGTCCGCCCCATGCCCAAGGGTGGTGGACGGGGTCAAGGCCTCTTCGACGCCTGAGCCAAGGGGCCACGGGGGCGTGGGCCAGGCTAAGAGGGCTCCCCCCCCCCCCCGGGGCCGCCTCCCCGTAGCAGCCTGGCCGATCCCCGAGGCCCCGCGCCGAGACAGCTTGGCGCCTCGCTGTCGCTCCCGCCGCCTTCCCCCCGGCGGGCCCTGCGGCCGTTCTCCGAGCATCTTCTTAAACAAGAGGGCTCAGGGTGAAATCCATCTGGGCTTTTGAACCTCGGAAATCACTCCGACGTGTGATTCGCCTGTTGCAGACTCGAACCTCGGAGAGAATGCTCGGAGAGAAAGCGGGCGGAGAGGCAGCACTTCTCTGCGTCTCCGCCCGCTCTCTGCCGGGCCGCTCGCGCGGGGAGCTGGCGCGCCAGCGTCCAGGCGCGGCCCCGCTGCTCGCAGGGCTCCCGAGCGTGGGCCGGCCAGAGGGGAGCGGAGGGCACTGGCCGATCCCTGCTGCAGTGGGGGCCCACGCCAAGAAACGCCCTGCTCGCCGCCAGGGTGCCCTGGGCTTCTTGGGTTTCGAAGGCTTTGCGACGGAACGCGTGACGTTCCCACTCCAAGAATCGGTGGACGCCCTGGGGTCTCAGGGCTGGGTTTCTTGTGGACTGGCCCCCACTGTAGGGCTGGCCTCCGCCAGGTACAGTCGAGTGCGAGTGGCGAGGACACGGGAGATAATACAATACCCTTCCCAGGGCCGCTTAGCCAACGCAGTGCAGAAGGCATGGGCCTCCAAACACAGGACACAACGGTACGTACCCTTGATTTGGTAGGGTCGAATTGCTTATCAAACTCGACTGTGGGAACAATGACAGGCGGCATACCACAGTCGAGACCAGCCCCAGGAGGGCCCTCCTGGTGGTTCGCCCCCCCTCTTCCCCCCATTTCAGCTGTGACATCTTCACGCTCCCACGCTGGTGGAGGCATCGTGGCCATCATCGATGAGGGTGGCCCGCTGATGGTGCTTGTGTCGGTTCCCTTCCCTCCTCGATCCTTGCCCTTGGAATCTCAAGAACTGACCCCAAAACCTGGTCCAACGGGATTCGTTTTGGCCCAAACTTCCAAGCGGATCCAGCCGTGGCGACGAGGGCGTCCGAGGACTCGCAAACAGGACGAACACCACGCAACACTCGGAACCATGATCCTCGACCCAAAATGAAAATCAGGGCGAGGTAGGCCCTCGATCCTCGATCCTTCGAACCTCAATTCCCGAACTTACTTCGAATCCCGATCATCACCCTCATCCGAGTTTGAGCGGACCCCCGTCAAGGCCGACCCCCGTTACACCTTCGTCGGCTACACGCACGCTTACCGCACGAGTGACCCCAGGCAATACTGACCCTTTTGCCAATCGTTGCATACGATTTGACAGTAGCGATTTGCGTTGCCCGAAAGCCGCGGGTCAACTGTGACTCTGGCCGAGGTCAGGAACAATCAACAGCGAATCGGGAAAGCCCTCCTGCCCCGTTTTTCGAAGCCCAAACGTGGCCGGGCCGCCCGGCCAGGCGGAGCTGCGGGAGAACGCACGGGGGGGGACCAGCTCGGGGGAACGACATCGACATGGAATCGGCGACGCATCGCAGATAGAGGCCCGCGATAGCGGGTCCGCACGCCCCTGGCCGGGACGAGCTGTTGGGCCCCCGTCGGCGACCCGTGGGCGACTGGGGGTCGGTGCGCTCCCCTCCCGAGCCTATCCGCCCATAACACGCTGCCCCTGGGCGAAGGGCCCCTGTGGCGCCAGGCCGCCCCGCCCGGCGGTGCCAGGCCCCCGAGGTCATGCTTTTTTCAACGACGTGGACCCTGGACCTCCTCCTCCTCCTGACCCTCCTCCGCCTCCTCCTCTTCCTCG